AGAAAAAACCTCACAGAACTCGGCTTACATGCTAAGATAACCGCGAGCCTGACTTCGCCTGCGGCCAACGAGGTATGCAATCAATACAACTACCACCAGACCTGCTAATGCACAGCCCACTGTTATGGGAACGATATCAGGTGTGTTGAATGAGCAATCTTGGGCTAAAAAAAAAAAAAAGACAAAGAAACGCATATTAATTTTGTAAGCAACATATCATTAGATAAGATAAGAGAATATAACATATACCTAGGCCAAAAACGGTGGAATTGTCGCCTCTGAAAGCTTGGAATTGCAGGTTGGATACCTTCAGATGCCCTATAGTTTCGTTCCTACCTTCCAGGGTCAGGTTCAGTATCTGTTCCTTAAAACATCTGTAAGAGTTGCTCAATCCGGTATTGAATTGCGGTGCCACGTGTACCAGAGTCACAGTCTTATCTAAAGCAAAATAAAAATTTATTCTCAAAAAGAAACAAGATCAAAGTGCAACTTAATTTACAAAAGATAAACTCTTACTTGAATCATCATTCGGGAATTCTGTAGATGCCAAAGAGATCTCCAAATAATGAAGAGAGTAATGTTTCTCCGTCTCGTTCTTTACAAAATGCAACGTGAAACTATCATTAACAGTAGAAACATTCTGTGGTTTCCATGACAATGTTAGATTCTGCTCAGTTTTACCACATTTTCCTGTTACACTACCATTAACTGGTATGTCCAATGCCTTATGAATTGTCTACAAAAAAAAAGTAAAAAAGAGGTGATCAAAAACAACATTGATCACAGCTATGAATTATATCGTAAATGTAATAATCATAAATTTAATCTTTATATCGATTTAAATAATTTTTATAACAAAATTTACACAAAAAATTTCAATTTTAATAATTTTTATGCAATAGTGATATATATTATGCATTTAGTTTCTATGTGCTTACCACATTATTGGCATTGATATAAGAAACATTTAACTGTGCAGCTACTGCAACTATGATGCAATATGTCTTGTTCTCTTGAACAATCCATTTTCCAGTACTTGGTGGAGGAAGTGGCGTTGTTGGCACTGGTGTTGTTGAAGCAGGAGTAGTTGATGTAGTAGGTGCAGGTGTTGAGGTTGAGGTTGAAGTTGGAATTGTAGTCGGCTTTGTTGTAGTCGGCTTTGTTGTAGGTGCCGTTGTTGGAGTTGTTGTTGGAGGCGAAGTAGGTATAATCACAGGAAGTAATGATACCGGTTTTTGCTCTTCAGTAGACTCACTTGTTGAAAGTACATTTGAATTTAAAATCGTCGTATTTAATTTTTGGTCTGCATTTGATTCTGGTGTTTTAATTGCTTCCAATGGCAACGGATGGTTGTCAATTTTCTGCTCGCCAGCTGTTAAAATCATAAACACATGATTACATATCTATAGCACACAGATGATTCACCTCAGTTTACAAGGTCGTATGTTAATGAAAGGCAGAAGCAACATATTATAATAGGGACTTTATACGGTCAATGATACTGTCATTACTGTACATTATTCTGTGTTACTGTTTTACTTCACTTTATGAAGTAGAAGTACTTTACTTCATAAAGTAAAGTAAGACAGTAACACAGAATGATGTATAGTAATGACAGCATTACTGACCGTGTAAGGTCCCTGTAGGAAGAATAGTATCTATTTAAAAAAAGGCTAATTATATTCTATTTCCTTGAAATTAAAATATTTTTCCCATCTTTTTTATCTAACTAATTAAAAATAGGCAAACCTGAAATAAAATATTTGAGATAAGTAAAATATATGTATTGTGAAATATTCTACAGATCGTACAGTTCTATTATATTAAATATAACGTTTAATATGCTTTTTTACTTTTAAATTATTTTTATTGTTTTTTTTATATTACATGTGTCGACAAGCTACATGAAAAAAAGTTGTCAACACGGCTAAACAAAGAAGAGCAAAGTCCAACATGAAAAAGAAAGAGATAACATATAGATCTTTTTTAGCATTGCAACAGCAATATTATATAAATTTATTAAGTTTCGAAATCATTTTGAATTTACAGCGATGAATTTAATATGAAGGGAGGCGTCACCGCAGCCGATTAGATCTACAATACAAATCTCTTTTCGGAACGATAATTCTTATCGCGTAACGTAATCCGACTTTTCCACGTTTCCCAGAAACCGTTGCGATGTCATCTCACGCGCACGTCGAGTGATTGCTTTGTTTCACGTATCATCATCCGCATTGTTTCGACATACAACGTAACGATACGAGTACTGCTGCACTAAAGTTTCCGTAACATTATCTTCGTTCGAAAAAGCCGAACGCCCTGTCCACCTCATCATGGCGCCTCCGGCGACCCGGAGATGCAATTAATTTTCGGATTCAGAACGATTGTCAACGCGAACACGATCCCGGGGCGGAAAATTCTTTTCTTCCCTCATCCTTCTTTCTTTCTGTCGCTAAGCCAAAACCGGAATCAATGACGGGAATTGTCGATATCGTCAAGTGTATGCGTCATACATTCCGAGCAGCAGCTGCCGTTGCCGTATTAGCGATAGCGGGATCATAGATTTTTAAACGCGGATCATTACCTGACACGATTGTCGCAGCGCAACACAGCAGCAGCAAAGGCTTCAGCATGTCGTCGAATGGCTGAAGAATTCGAGTCGCGCGAAAACTACTGTACGTTTGTTCGAGCCGATCAACACGATCCAGAAAAATCAAGGAAAATGAAAAGTACATGGAAAGCCGAGGGTATAGAGTCCCTGTAGAGAAACTCTACGAGGGTAACGCTCTTACTGCCATCTGTCCCGACTGCAGTGAAGATGAGAGCGGTTTATTTGAATCTAAAGTCGAAAATATAATTTTAATAAATTGATCAAAAATGTTCCAATAATCGACCACATATTAACAAAATAGTTAGTTTAATATTTATAAATATAAAAGCAAGAAATAATATTTAAAAAACTTTTAGTAAATTAAGTTTGCGTACAAAAAAATAATAATTAAAACAAAAAATCATTATGTATATCCTTCTTAATGAACTATTCTATCTTTTATATTATAAAAAAAAAAATAGCACAGTTTAGAATAAATTTTATATAAAACTGCTATACACACACATATAAGAATAAAACTCAAATTGAAAATTATATGTTATTTTCTACAAGTTGAAATCTCTACTGACTTACTTTTACATTGAACATAATATAAAAAAAAATCACATATAAATTAAAACTGATGCGCATAAAAATACGTCATTTATTTACAAGTTATCAGACAAATTAAACTGAAAAGTTTCAATTAGAGCATAAGTTATTATACAAAACTTGCATTTTTATTTATTATACGTATAAATATTATACGTATTATCACATTTGACATAAATGAGAAAACATATTTTTCCTTAGAATTAGTAACGCAATTGACTTATTGCGACAAATCGATTCCCGATGATTTTACTAATTGTAACTGAATATATATCTAAATGTATTATAAATGATCCATACACACATGTAGATACACATGGGATGTATCTCGCGCGCGCGCGCGGTAAAGTGTGATCTACATCCACAAGCAAATGTATCTTTTTAAGCAATATAAAATATTTAGAATTGTTCTATAACCAAGTCGAAGGATTCAAGGCACAAAAATGAAGTGGGATACATCGTTAGTATCTTCCACGACTTTGGACTGAAGCAGCTTGATCTCGAGCCTCAGCTTCTCTTTCTCCATCTCCTGTTTTCTTATCTCATTCGAGCAACAATTTATTTGCAGCTTCAGCTTGTCTTTCTTCAATTTTAGCATTTCAGTTTCGTGATACAGCTTTCCCCTCTCGGCACGCAATACAGCTAGCTGCTCTTGAAGCAACTGCTGACTCGCATCGTCTGAAAATACTATGTCTGTATTCTCCATGTTTGACTTCATCACAGAGATCGGCTTGCTCGTTGCGTTTGTCTCACTCTCCGGCCCACTCTCCACTTCTGTGTCCATGGAAGTATTCTCTTTCATAATCCAAATTCTCGAATCTGCTTCGTGAAAGCTTCCAGATGAAGTTGCCGGCGACTCTTGCAATTCCAAAGAGTTAGTTTGCGGTTTATGATTAGGCGAAGTAGACTTTCCTTTCGTGATCTTCTCGATAGTAGTGGTGGGAGCAATAGTTCTGATATCTAAAACTAATATAAAAGTCTCTTTTAATGGTTTCCTTTTTTAATTATTCTTATAAATATATATAATTATTACAAAAATTAGTAAGTGAATACAAGTGGATTTTTTAGTTCGAGAATATGGCTGTATGCATAAGAACATATGCGAATGTTAGAAAATAGTCTTGTATACGCACGATAGATAAAAGATAGAGTTAAGTTTTTAGCTTGTAAGTAGTTAGAAAATTATATATAAAATAGAAAAATAAAACACAAAATCCTTTGTGAGAAATAAACAATATATCTATTATAAAAATTATTATTTACCACGCGACTTTGGCGATTGGCTATCGTCTACTGCATGCGATAAGTGATTGCTGCAGTAGCTATTGAATTCTCTCTCATCGATGAACACATCACCATCCGCATTAACGATAGACTCAACTATTACTGATGGATCGCCGTTTTCCATCACTAACTCGCCTACTATTTCTCCATCGGCTGCTATTATATCGCTTTCATCATTTGCTCTTAATAATTCGCCCTCATTTGTATCAATCTCATCGACCACTTCCTCCTGCGTCAATTGACCGCTGTAAGAATCTTCACCGTCGTTTCCCTCACTTACTTCTAACTCCGTTGATAATCCCTGATAAAAAAATTTTTTATTCTACAAAATATTGATGAGAAAGTTTCTTTAGCCTTTTACTTTTATCAAAAAATCCAAAGAAACTTTCTGGTTACACAATTAAATAAATTAATCAGATCTTACATCTTGACCCCAAGCAGATTCCTGCTCTTTTTTCATCCTCTTTATACTTATTATTATCTTATCCTCATTTCCAGGATAACTCTTTTTATTATTCCTGCCTTGCATCTTTTCCATATCATGAATTTTTTCTAACAACTGACATGCTCGTTCCGGTGTGATGTTTCTCTTTTGTTTATTAGCAGCTGCTATGTTAAACAGATCTTTTGATCTTAACACCTTGTTCGTACGCAATCGCACATATTCTTTTAATCTCTTACGATCAATATGTAATTGCATAAGATCTTGAACATCTTGTTTAATTTCACCACAAAGCTTTCTCTCTTGTGGAAGATTTTTAAATAATTCCTATTTTATAAAATATTTTAAATGTAATATACATTACATATAAAAAGGTCTCAATACAAAATATCCCTTGATGTAATACTTTTTATTAAAAGATAATAATTTGTAAAGAAAAATTTTATTTTTAATTTTTACATTGTCTCTTTAATCACGCCACCATGGGATATCGCAATCTATAAATAGCAAATTAGTATACCTCAGAGATTTCATGATTGTGTTCATTATTAACACTAGTTACTTCTAACTTTGTACCATCTTTTGATGCTCTGAGCATAACATGAGCTGGACAATCCGTTCGTATGGACCTGTGTATATCAGTAAGTGCGAAACATTATATTGAGAATCAAGACATAAATTAATATAATACACCAAGGTAATAATTAAAGACTAACTGAGATTGTCTTTTTCCATCACCACGTGGAGAGAACTTCTGGCCACCATAGATGCACGCATATTTAACGGAATAATATTTTAATCGCTCGCTAATCGGTCGTGCAGTTTTCATATGAGCTCCATTGACAGTTCTACTATCTCTTCTCCAATAATGCACTAAATTGTGCTTCGAGACTCTGTCCAACTTTTGCTCCAGTTCCTCATAACTATCAAACAACTCTCCCAGGTGGAAGAGCATACCATTGTTGTCGCCAGTACTTACGTCCATTGTAAAAATAACAATTCATAAGCTGCGCAACAATCAGAAAGAAAGTTATCAATTAACTTTTAGAAACTCATATGTTTATTTTTATCAATGCGAACAGAAGCTTTACCATCATTGTCGTGATATGTGTGTTATCTCTGTGCTTTCCTCAAGAGAGCATAATTCAAATCGCGAATTTTTTTAACGAGTTACATGCTTAACAAGCGCATAAAACTAATATTTGCGATAACAAAGCTAGAGATGAGGTTAGCAATGACAAATGCAAATTGACGTAATCAAGAAGTTTGACGCAAAAAGATCGTCATCGTCCACGTGGTTTTCACTCGACCGAGGCTTGAACCGACAATGATTGTGCACGATGCGAGCGGCAGCATCGTTTATTAACAATTGTTGGCTCGTTTAAGTCAAAAAAAGGTTATGATGTTGTATTGATGATTGGCGTGGCAGAAGCCACATCGGGAACCGTGAACACAGACAGACCGAATTTCTTGAGAAACGCGCGACTAGGCGATTGGATTTTTCTATTCTCCCGTGATTTGCAATTCAGATTTTTCACACGATATAAATTTATTAAGCAACAAGAAAATACATACCGCAACGATTACATGGTAATATTTTCTCAGACGGGATAAACAGTGCCACCAATTGGATTTTTTCCACGACTTCCGCTCGAAAGAAAAATCGTTACCTTACCAAGAACGAGAAGTTGTCCAGCAAATTTTTAAAAAATATAAAAACTGTTCAAAAACAAACTGCAAAGATTTTTAGATATTATAACGTCTTTTGAGTTTTTGCGTTGTCATCTCTCGAATTAACATAAGTTGGTGAAAAACGTGAATTTTCAAAACGCAATTCGATTCGCGGAATGACGTTTAATTGTAAATAACATAAAATACAAGGATAATAGAAATTTATTCTAAATATTCTTACGAATAAAAAAAATATAAGTCACTTACATGCAATATTAAGCGATAAAAGTGATACTAGTAGTAAATAATCAAATAAATGTCTCAGTAACCGGATAACAGCATGTCCAGCTACCGGGCACCACATCATTCTATTGTAGAATCGACCATTTGATAACACGCGCTACTCCACGCTACTCTGCTCACTTCGCTCGAATCGTCGAAGTCGACATCTAGCCATCTAGTGACGATGCGCGTTACAATCATGCGACTAGGATCACTAAAAATATAGAGACTCCACCATTTTAGTAGCGCAGTCCGATGCACGCGCCATCTACGAATCTCGGGGAGAAGCTCTGTTTTTATTCAGTTCGTCGTGTCTGGCAGTTTGGGCACCCTGACAGTAGCGAGAGACTTGGCGAAGTTCACTCAGCTATGCTCGGCTTCGCTTCGCTCACTCGCTCGCGTCCAGCAATTCCAATCCTTTTCCGTTCCGTCATCCGTTCTATCGCTCGCGTTTGCGTATGAATACCGTGGAAATCAGCTTGATTATCCGGAGAACGGGTCTTGCGAGGAATGCTCGCTAGTTTTTCGGACGCGTGTAGCTTCTTCAATAGGTAGGTAAGTGTTCCGATGCTCGCGGCGGCAACGGCAGCTGACGGAGACGACGTACGGTGCTACGGGGATCGGTCGAGAAGTTTGCACGAAGGACTTTACGACAGGTCGAACGACGGCTCTGGTAACAGGAGTCGACAACGGCGACGAAGACGACGTTGTCAGCTGCTCTCGGTACATCACACGTGCCACAGAGTCTCCTATGTGCCTCCTTCACGTGGACACCGCTGCTCGACGACGCTCTAGGACACGTGGGACCATCGCGGGCCATCCCGTCAATCATGGACGTTGATTGTCCGATTGTTAGTTTGAAGCGATCCAGTAGCGCGCCGATGATTAATGAGATCAGCAGTGTGACCATGTCCGTCACCACGCCGTCTACATCGTCGTCGAGGTACGTCCGTTTTTCTTCCTACCTCATCCGAGAGCAGCATCATCCGAGCATGATGGTGCTCCGAACTTAGGACGATGACAGAATCAGCAGAGACCTTCGTCCGGGTCAAATAAAGTTTAGGAAGTGCTGTAATTGTAATTACAGTAATAATTTATCGTCTCAGTAGTTTATTTGTGAATAAACTAGTTAGAATAGCTCTTGTGAGTGGATAATTGAGATTTGCCCACTCTAATTGCTTAACGATCTGTAAAAGTAACAATATATTGCATGGAACATTGATTGAACATATGTGTTGAGAGAACAATTCTTTTTGACATCTAGGCTTAAGACAGTAACACTGTTGTATAATATAAAAGTATATACAAATTACGTTTATGTGGTATTGAATTCTATTAAAAAGGAAATCAAAAGATTTGTGTAGAAATATATGCATTACTTGTTTTTATGATTTTTGTTTCTTAGAAACTTTTAGAAACGGTGATATGAGAAATCATATTATTAATAATATGTCATAATTGTTGATATATAATTTTTAATCATTTTAAAACATTGGCAACAATTTTACTTTGAGATATATAGTCCTATTAACTGCCCTCAGAACAAATGTATTCAATGCAACTTACATAAGATGTAAATATATATCGTGGAATACAATTGATTTACATTAAACAAATGCATGGTTCAAGCAATGTTTCATATAAATGAATGAAAGGTTAAATTCTATTTATGAGCAAAATGTTTTGATAATGTTTGTCCAAAATATGTTTGCAGCTGTGTACCAAAAAATTGCCTCCAAATATGTTCTTATATTTTTATTTACAGGGATGCGGTATCAAGCTATAATATATTTGCTAATTCACCTCGTCTACGACGCTTCAGCACTAGTGTAAGATTATAGTTTTCATTTTTTAAATATTTTATTATTAATTAACATGATTATTCAAATTATTCAGTACAATTATTTATCTAAACTTTCCTTGCTATGTAAAGTTCAAATTAGTCATTATCTGAACTCTCGATTGTTAGGCTTCGAGTACACGGGCGATTTAAATCGCCGTC